CAGGCCTTGCTTTCCGACCATCAGCTTCTGCTAGCAAACTCCATTTGCCATACCCCCTTAGGGGGGTCCCTCTAAATCATAATTCAACAGAGCATGAGAAGACTGCACCAGAAACACGCCTGCCGAAAAGCCGTGAACGCCCTATAACTGCGTTTGCAAAACCCTGATAACAAAAAACCTTACCCAAACTCCTTATCGAGCCCTTTCATAAGCCGCTACGCTAACAATGGCAAAAAAAAGGGCCTCCTAAGCCCCAAACCCACACCCCTAGAGCTTAAGTGCTTGAAATAAAGGGCGTTTGTAAACCCTAAACCCTAAACCCTAAACCCTAAACCCTAAACCCTAAACCCTAAACCCTAAACCCTAAACCCCTAGAGCTTAAGTGCTTGAAATAAAGGGCGTTTGTCGCTGGAGCCCAGGTGTGAACAGCGGCCTCGTGGTCAACACGACTTGCACGTGGGACGAGGAGAAGCGAGGAGCCTACTGGGGACGAGCTCTTAGATACGTACATATTTGTACATATATGTATAAGATGTATGTATGTATGTATGTNNTATGTATGTATGTGTGTGTGTGCGCACATATTCCTAGTGTTGAAAATACAGAGCTTGTTTGTGCCTTACTCTAGCATGCTCTGTGGAGCTTGTTTTGCCTGGTTCCATTGTTGTAAAGTCTGGTGTTGTGTTTTGCTTTTGTTCTATACTGCCTGTCCTTATTCTTTTCAAGGTTCTGTACGAACATAAGTTGGCATGGTCCTAAGAAGAGTTGCTGCTCTTCGTGACTTTCTTCTGGCTTACTATCAATGTTTTGTGCTGGCTGCTTTTTGACATCATTACAAGTATTCTTCGAGTTTGATGCTTCAGGTGGGTGTCGTTTCTACAAAGCATGGAAGGTTTCAGGATTCAGTTTGAGCTAACTCATAGCAACTGATACTAGTCAACTACAGCTACCGGTGAGAAATAAATGAGTATAACTCCGGAAATGCATGCTTTTGGGAGTTGGGGCTCGGGATTTCGCAGCGTAGCAACATCTCCCTATGTACTTATCGTACATTACCACCCCCCCCCCCCCCNNCCCCCCCCCCCCCCCCCCCAACGAGCAAGTATTGAAAAGATTACGGCCTCAATATCAATCCCCTTCTAAAGCCCTAGAAGTGCACAGAAAACACGCTACAAAATCCGTATGCAACCCTGACAAATCTCTGCTATAGATTACAGGTGTAAATTACCATTGATAGTATACCCTCATATTCCCCTGATACTTAAATTGGAAAAGCCCCCAGAACCCGATTCCAGCGTTACTGAGGCAGATGTTTCTCCTGGACTGTCCCGACGAGGGCGCACAGAAGAATTGGATTTCCCAGGGCCTGTCCGCCGCGGCGCGGCGGCGTTTTTGGGGCCATGTTGCGAGCTTTTCTGGAAGTCGGGGCGTAGGATTTTGCGTTCAGGCTTTGGGGTGCAGGCTTCTCCTATACCCCATGACCTCACACCTAAACCCTCCAACCCTAGACTACGCCCTCGAGCCTCCTTATTATCCTACAATCCCTGAGAGATTTTTTTTAATGTTTCCATGAGATTGCTTTCGGCACACCGGCCCAGGCTTGGACACTAATCTCCTCACAGAATGAACCCCCGAAGCTCTAGAACACTAGGTCCCAAAGACCCTTAAACCCTAAACCC